ACGCGTCCTGCGGGCCGTGCTCTACGCCTACCACAGCAGGCTGCTCCGGCATCGGCCCTACCTGGCCCTGCAGCAGGTGAGGAGCAGCTCCAGAGGGTCAGCGGGTACCCGGCAGCCGGTCGCTGCACCCCCGGCCCCCAGACACCAGTCCCCGAAAGGCCCGTGGAGTAGTGCTTGATGCCTGGAGCATCGTGCAAAAAGTATTTTGGAGCAGGTGCATTTTTGTCGTCTTTAATTCTCCTCACGGTTTAGTTCAGTGGGTTTACTGGCTCTGTGCAGCCAGTGCAATTCCCGCTTTCCAGCCCTGTGGAGCCAATACTTGGTCTCTTACACTTACGCTGAGACCTGGAGTAGGTACAATTACATACCTTTGAATATACGAGTAATGCAGGGATTTCATTTTCAATTAATTGTAATAATAGGAGGGGGGAAGAATAATCCTAGGCTGTTCTATTAGGCACTTTCTGTTTTAAGATGAAAAGTGAACTCCTTACCAGTTTTCCAGTAAAGGGATTGTCAGTATCTTCAAATAACTGTTTTGAAATAGAACAGGAATCGTTCTTACCTTCTTGATTTGTTTATGCATTTTCATTCTTGAAAGCTAATACCAAAGGCTATTGTATACAGCAGGGGAAACGATGCAGCGCCAATTAACAATGGCCTACTCCAGCCCTTCACTTCATTCCATATTCATGGTAGTGTGATAAAGGGATCTTTTTCATCATAGTGCAGGTATAGGAGCATACCAGAACATTCCATCATGCAAACCTGCAATTTATGCTGTTAAACTGATAAGGGGAAGGTGTCACTTAATATAGTGACAGTTCTTAGACCAAGGCACTCCCATCTCTCAGAATACCAGTCAAAGGAGTTTTCTTTTTTTCTAGGTAGAACAATGCTTGAAGCGCCTATGGAAAATGAACTTGGTGGGCTGCATCGAAACTCTAGCAGGACTGATTCCCAAGTAAGTGTCGTGATCCCGTATGTTCTACTGCCCGTTAATTCAGTCTGCAGAGCTAAAGGGCGGGAATGCTACATCATAACCATCTCCTCGCCCTTGTGTCAACACAGGAAAAATACATCCCAAGCCCACGCAGAGTGCTTAGTTCCCAGCCAGCCTATGCTGGAAACAGCGGCTCTGAAGGTATTGGGAGGTTGCAAGCTCATACTACGTCTACTGGACTGTTGCTGTAAAGGCTTTCTGTATCCTTTTTTCACCACGAAAACATTCTTACAGTTCACCAGCAGCACCTCACGAGACCAAAACTAGGTCTGCTGTAGGCACTGTATTGCTGATGGACTCAACTGTGCCATTCATACGTGCAACTTGAAGTTTCTCTGATAGCCAAACATCTTACTTTCAAGTTATTATGTAGGAACCTCAGGCTGTTAGCTGGCTGCTGTTCCGGCCTTGAGCAACCCAAAGTTTGGATACTCATCTCCCAGATTATCCAGGATATTGCCTTGTGAATTGCCTCTAGTTGGTGTGTTCAGCAAGCCTCATTACATGCTGCTTATTTTTTATCCTTAACTGGTGTAATCTTCAGCTTGTCTGTTAAACATCTCTGCTCAGAAGAATTCATACTTTTGAACACTGTGGCTTTGGGGTTGTTGAGCCAGCTATGGTTTGTGTATTCAAAAGTCTGTCTTGTTTGTTGTCCGTTTGACATGCCTGTCAGGGAGAGGGCTTGTAATTAGGCCTTGCTGCTGAGTGAGTTTTATTCAGTTGGGAGGAGGAGGAGGGGGGGGTCCCTCCATCCTTTTGGACTTGATTCTAGCACCTGAAGAGTTGTAAAAGTGGAGAGAGACTTTTTACATGCTGCTATTGGAAGGGTTTGTTCTTGGTTCATAGTAAACTTCATGTAGCACTAATAAAATCACAGTGTTAATGCCAGCCTGCCACAAACACTAACATCTGGTACTCTTTGCAGCAAGCGGCAAGTCCTGCCTCATGCTGAAATGGAAAGGCTGGGATAAAGTTGTTCTATAATACTGCTGAGTTTTCCAGGGAAATCAGTGTTCTGCTCTCTCTCAGTACATGGAAGTAACTGCTGTCTGTAGCTGAAGGAGTAACAGCATTGTGTAGAAGAACTCAGTAAAATGTTCTTTGGCACAAGAAATCTGTCTCCCCAGTAAACGTAGAGCAGGCGATTGCACGGCATCAGTGCTAGCACCGCTGTCCTGAGTTGGGACAGGTTGCTTTTGGGGGAAGACCTCATGTCAAGTGATTTGGATGTGACCTGGAAACCTGATGAGTCCGAGGTGTGGTACTCAGCAAAGCTGTAGGGAAGCAGAGGGGCTCCTGATCAGGGATTTACTGGTCAAGTCACTCCTACATTCTAAGGAACTGTTGTTCCTTAAAGCTCAGACTAATATTAAGGAAAGCGTGGTGATGGAGTGTAAAAAGATAAGCTTGTACTGAGGGGGAATAGAGAGTGGGCAGCTTGGAATCTCTTCCATCTCTTCAGTCTCTTCCGCTTGAGCTGAAGGTAGTTGTTCAGCAAGCACAAGGTTTTGCTAGAGGAGGCTTCATACCTTTCTGTCTTCTCTCTTCAGGATTCAGTACAGGTGTGTATTGCAGAGCCTTGTGTCCTTCTATGGCATGTTGTCGACATCACTTCATCTGGTATCTGAGACCCAAAAGATGCCCTATATCAAAGAGTTTACCTTCCCTTCTGATATCAGTAACTTCCTTGGAGTTAACGTTTCTTCTGAGGTGAAGAAGCAAAAGGCTAGAATGCTTACAACAAAAAAACCCGCCAGCTGGCTGAAGAAGCTCTTCCCAACAATGCCAGAGGCAGTGTCAGAGGTTGGGAAAAAGAGAAATTTTGCGACCTGCACGAGTGCTGTGAAAAACTGTAGCATCCCATGCCCCATGGACATCGGAGAGACGGTTCTGGTGACCAGAGCCAGCAGAGGTAAAGCCTTGTGCCACAGTGCTACTGGTTTCTGACATCTCATAGACTGACCGCAACTTCTGTCCAACAGAGCCAAGCACTTCTACTACCCACAGAGTGCGGTTCTAGTACAAACTCCCCTCTCCTGTCCTTGGAAGAGGAGGAGAATGCTGCATGTACCTGTGCCTTTATAAAGCTGTGGATAGTATCAGTATTGTGAGGTTTTGGTGGCTTTTTTTAAACATGATACAGCCTGGAGAGGAGCAGGTAATGAATGCAGTATACAGGTCCTGTAAATAGATACTTGTATTTTCCTGCTTCTGCATAGATTGGGCCCAAGAATAGCAAGGAAAGCTAAGAGCATTGTCTGCAGTCCATACAAGAGTAGATAAGGTTGTAAGTACAGGATGCAAGTATCCTGTGCTTGCTGCTTCTGGGTGGTGCCCAAGTCTTCCCCTGCAGTCAGGGCTATGGCCAGTGACTGCAGGCATCCAGGTGTTTGTGTGAAGCTTTTACCCATTAAGTTCTCCTTTGCAGCCGTCTGTAAATCTCTGCATCCTCTTCATCCCTTGCCAGCTGCCAGGCGAGATGAGTGTAGTCCCCTTGAGTTTGCCTGGAAATGTTGAGTACAGGTGCGAGCCTGCTGAGACGGCAGGAGATCTGAGAGCTCAGCAGGGCAAAGCATTGCGGTGTCCCTCTGCAAAGACTTAAACCTGTCTTTACTTCGTAATGGGAACTCTCCTCTCTCTTTGTAGGGAAGCACCCGGGGTTTGATGTGAAGAGCTTACTTAGACCATCCAGACCTCCAACACAAGAGGTTTGTATGGTACTGTTTTTCACTTTTTTTTTTTTAACTTTGAAGACCCTAACTCTCAAAACATGATATCCCTGATTGAACATGTCCCCTTTCCCTGCCTTATTTTTGCTTGTCTAACAACCCAAGTTAGCGTGGAGGCTTTGCACTGAAAATCACTCCTAATTTCTGCTTAGGAATTTGAGCATTTGTTGGTATGTCAAGTGAAATGACCAGAGAGCAAGTCAGTAGTAGACAGGAATACAAATTCTAATTACCTGCCTCTTTTTGTATTCCACACAACAAGACTGCTCTTCCACTTTCTCCTTAGGAAATAAGAAATGTTCTCACAAAAACCTCAGTGCTCTGCTCCTCTCCAGCAGAGAGAATCAGGCATGTCGTGTTTTTAAAAGACTAACTGTTTCTGTTATCCTTTGTTTCAGGGTATAAGCATTGCATCAACACCTTTTAAAGCAAAGTCGGCATTGCTTTCCTCTCGTATAGCAAAATCGCAGCATACTGGATCTCTTGTACAGATGGTCCAAACAGCTACATCGTTTGGGGAACTGTCAGAGGCACTCAGAAAAGCTATTCTGTGGTGCAAAGACAACAAATTCAAATCGGAAGCTTATTTTCTGCGTAACAAGCTGTTGAAAAGCAACCGGCTGCACCACGTGGAGGCTCAAGGATGCAGGTAATTCTGCGTGGGTGTGGGGTTTCTGGATCTGACACTTTACACCTTAATATTTATGTATTTTACTACAGTGTAGAGAAATGCAGTGGTCTAACCCATTCTTTTTAAATGCAAACGGGATCACTAGTTCAGATTACTGGACACTCCGACATGAACATTCTGTTTAGCTTCAGTCATTTGTGAAAGTATTTAGAAGGCTAACAAATGCATAAATACTTAAGAGGTAGGATGAAAATGCAACTTAAATCATGTGCATGTTTAACGGTAACGATTATATGATGCAAGGGGTGCCATCTTTCTCCAGAATGCCCTGGCTACTATTGTACAAGGTGCTGGTGTATCTCCTTGGTATGACAAGGAAAACGGTAGAGAAGGCTAATAACCAAATCTCTCCAAACCCCAAATGAAATAACTTTAGCAGCTGATGAAGTTATGTTTATCTTCCTCTCCTTAAGCTTGAAGAAAAAACTGTGCTGTGTCAAAACATCTGTCCGTAAATACCTCCTATATGGGTCACAAAACACACGCTGGCCAAAGCAGTACCTCGGGGCATGGTTCTGTCGAAGGAGGATCAAATCATCTGTGCGCTTGAAGAGAACTCTGAAGACTGTTCGGCAAAAGCCTTCTGAGCTTTTTGGAGTCTGTGAGAACAGTGCATCACTCATCCTCCCAGCTTACCAGGATGGGCCTCTGAGTCGGGAAGGATGTTCCAGTGCTGATGCAGGCTGTGTCAAACTAAGCACAGCAGGGACCACTAAGCGACTGTTGCTGGAAGGAAGCCCTGGCCCTGTGTGGAAAGAAGCTGCTGAGAACATGGATATTGATTCTATTTTTGCAGCAATGGGTGTCTGACCCTGGACTTGCAAGGAGGAAAGGGGTCAAGTCATTCCAATTTTTTTTTTTTTTTAAGTAAAACCCTCAGAACCCTGATGGTGTCTTGGTAATTCACACCCTGAATCCTGCTAAGAAAATAGCAACTATTTTACTATGTTTTTGTAAAACAGCTTTTTTTTTTTAAGGAAGGGTGTTCCAAACAGCTGAATAATCTTCATCCTTTTACCTAGCCTTGTCCAGGAACAGTGACTTTGAGTTTTTTACCCATTAAGTTCTCCTTTGCAGCCGTCTGTAAATCTCTGCATCCTCTTCATCCCTTGCCAGCTGCCAGGCGAGATGAGTGTAGTCCCCTTGAGTTTGCCTGGAAATGTTGAGTACAGGTGCGAGCCTGCTGAGACGGCAGGAGATCTGAGAGCTCAGCAGGGCAAAGCATTGCGGTGTCCCTCTGCAAAGACTTAAACCTGTCTTTACTTCGTAATGGGAACTCTCCTCTCTCTTTGTAGGGAAGCACCCGGGGTTTGATGTGAAGAGCTTACTTAGACCATCCAGACCTCCAACACAAGAGGTTTGTATGGTACTGTTTTTCACTTTTTTTTTTTTAACTTTGAAGACCCTAACTCTCAAAACATGATATCCCTGATTGAACATGTCCCCTTTCCCTGCCTTATTTTTGCTTGTCTAACAACCCAAGTTAGCGTGGAGGCTTTGCACTGAAAATCACTCCTAATTTCTGCTTAGGAATTTGAGCATTTGTTGGTATGTCAAGTGAAATGACCAGAGAGCAAGTCAGTAGTAGACAGGAATACAAATTCTAATTACCTGCCTCTTTTTGTATTCCACACAACAAGACTGCTCTTCCACTTTCTCCTTAGGAAATAAGAAATGTTCTCACAAAAACCTCAGTGCTCTGCTCCTCTCCAGCAGAGAGAATCAGGCATGTCGTGTTTTTAAAAGACTAACTGTTTCTGTTATCCTTTGTTTCAGGGTATAAGCATTGCATCAACACCTTTTAAAGCAAAGTCAGCATTGCTTTCCTCTCGTATAGCAAAATCGCAGCATACTGGATCTCTTGTACAGATGGTCCAAACAGCTACATCGTTTGGGGAACTGTCAGAGGCACTCAGAAAAGCTATTCTGTGGTGCAAAGACAACAAATTCAAATCGGAAGCTTATTTTCTGCGTAACAAGCTGTTGAAAAGCAACCGGCTGCACCACGTGGAGGCTCAAGGATGCAGGTAATTCTGCGTGGGTGTGGGGTTTCTGGATCTGACACTTTACACCTTAATATTTATGTATTTTACTACAGTGTAGAGAAATGCAGTGGTCTAACCCATTCTTTTTAAATGCAAACGGGATCACTAGTTCAGATTACTGGACACTCCGACATGAACATTCTGTTTAGCTTCAGTCATTTGTGAAAGTATTTAGAAGGCTAACAAATGCATAAATACTTAAGAGGTAGGATGAAAATGCAACTTAAATCATGTGCATGTTTAACGGTAACGATTATATGATGCAAGGGGTGCCATCTTTCTCCAGAATGCCCTGGCTATTATTGTACAAGGTGCTGGTGTATCTCCTTGGTATGACAAGGAAAACGGTAGAGAAGGCTAATAACCAAATCTCTCCAAACCCCAAATGAAATAACTTTAGCAGCTGATGAAGTTATGTTTATCTTCCTCTCCTTAAGCTTGAAGAAAAAACTGTGCTGTGTCAAAACATCTGTCCGTAAATACCTCCTATATGGGTCACAAAACACACGCTGGCCAAAGCAGTACCTCGGGGCATGGTTCTGTCGAAGGAGGATCAAATCATCTGTGCGCTTGAAGAGAACTCTGAAGACTGTTCGGCAAAAGCCTTCTGAGCTTTTTGGAGTCTGTGAGAACAGTGCATCACTCATCCTCCCAGCTTACCAGGATGGGCCTCCGAGTCGGGAAGGATGTTCCAGTGCTGATGCAGGCTGTGTCAAACTAAGCACAGCAGGGACCACTAAGCGACTGTTGCTGGAAGGAAGCCCTGGCCCTGTGTGGAAAGAAGCTGCTGAGAACATGGATATTGATTCTATTTTTGCAGCAATGGGTGTCTGACCCTGGACTTGCAAGGAGGAAAGGGGTCAAGTCATTCCAATTTTTTTTTTTTTTTAAGTAAAACCCTCAGAACCCTGATGGTGTCTTGGTAATTCACACCCTGAATCCTGCTAAGAAAATAGCAACTATTTTACTATGTTTTTGTAAAACAGCTTTTTTTTTTTAAGGAAGGGTGTTCCAAACAGCTGAATAATCTTCATCCTTTTACCTAGCCTTGTCCAGGAACAGTGACTTTGAGTTACCCTTACTCAGTGTCCCTTCTCTATCGCTTGACCACATGTTAAGTGCTGCTGTCAAATCCACAGTGCAAATAGTTACCATCCATGGTGGAAGGCTGCAGCTGATCACTTACTGCTGCTGAGGACAAAGGACTTGCTGCCACTTTTCCAAGGAAACAGTTTTATACCCTTCCTTCTGTGCTGCTTGTATAGGGGACAGCCTTGACCTGCAGTATTATCGCTGTTCAGCATTTGTTATCCTTGTCCTGAAATGAGGAGTTAACTAAACCTACTGCCTCTGAGCTGCTCCAGAAGCAGGGGAAAGCACAGCTGTGGCCTGCAACAGTAAACTCCTGACTGGTGAATGTGTTTCCCACTGTCCTGAAATCTTTTTAACGTAAGTGCAATTTCTGCCTGCTTGGCAATGTAAGGTGTAGCTACGCCAATGTGTATTAATGAAATAATATTAGAACAAGCAATGGGGTTAGTGCTTTCTGCCAGGCTCTTGCTTGTAATGCAGTCCCAAGATCAGGATCACCAGGAAATACTACGAAAAAAATGTCTCGGAATGAAAACCAGGAATCTGCTTTATTGCAGAGCACCTGCCTAACAGGGGTAAGGAAAGGCTGTAAGTGCAAGTAAATCTGGAATAGGTTATCTTCAATTTCCTAGGCTTAATACTGGTAAAAAACAAAAGAGCTCTACCTATTGGGACAGAAGAAAAAATAACCTTCCTAGCCAATTAAGTGCTAAAAACCCTGGATTTATGTACCTTGTGTGAATTGATCAATGTAAGTTTCTGCCCACTCCTCATAATTAAACTTAATGTTTTATTTAAAGAGCATATAAAGAGCAAAGAGCAGAACTTGTATAGTTCCGTCCAGTTAACCAAGATCCATTTTCTAGGTTTCCTGTCACTGGAATACCCAGTGATAACTGAAATAGTTGTAGAGAATGACCCATCATTAGCCCTCTAGATATCCGATTCAGCACAGTCCTACTTCAAACAGACTTCCTGCCATTACAAGAATCTTTAGAGCTCTCTTCTCATTTCATAAAATGGTATAAAAATATGTAAGTATACTGCATACAATCGGATAACATTCAGCTGCTTGAATACTTTTCAGAAAAGGCTGTGAGCGAGGGCAGACATCCTAGCAGTGACCTCCATCCTGAATAACCCCTCCAGACAACACACATGACATTCCTTCCTTCTGGGCAGCAGGTGCCCAAGTAATGCCTCAGTGCAGCCTCCGTGCAGAATCAAGAGCCGTAGTTTGCTTCATCAAAGGCCTTTCTGGCTCGTTTCAGTTCTTCATTCATAGTCAGGAGGTCTTTAACTCTGGCAAACTTACGGGGGTCCTTGCGGATTAGAAAGACAATGTCTTCAACCTGTACACGGCCCTGCCGCCCAATCGACATTGCCTTGTGTGTCTGTTACAGGAAAAGAGGAAAGTCAGCGGGGTTCCTTTGCCCCTTAATTTCTTTTAAACTCTCAATTCCACTTTTTTCCCTGTCATTTTATAATCAAAAAGTAAGCAATTGCAGGATCTGGGCACCGCCTTCCACTTTATTCCCTGTCATTTTATAATCAATCAAAAAGTAAGCAATTGCAGGATCTGGGCACCGCCATCCTAGTCACAAGAGAACTTCCCAGTAAACCATGGACTTGCTGTGTCTCTGCTGTCCCCAGCTGCCTGTCACTTACACCCAGCACAAACCACTATATACACATGAGATTAATGACATCAAAACTAAAGCCAGATTACACGTAGGACACCCAACCTGCAGAGTGCTTGAAGATGAACAGTATCAGGCCGAACTTGGAAGCAATGTGAAGTACCTGTATCACAGGACAGCTTAGGGCATTTTGATGAGGGAAGGCAAGGCCAACCTTTCAAAAGAAAGGGGATCCACAAACAGTTGGAATAACTTTTTTCAAAAAACAAAAACTTTCAAACAGTATCCAAACATCTGGAAGAGTGATGGCTTCAGGCCCCAGAAGTTTGCATTTCTTTTGTAGTGCAGAGCTATGTTCCTATCCATGTAAAGACACGGAGTATACAAAAAGTCGATAGGCTTTCAAAGCTGTGCCTTGGTTTTTTTTGGCTGCACATATAGTGATGCCCCAGTGAACTCCAAAGTCAGATGTATTTTTGCCCCCCCATACTAATCTAAATGCTACTTAAGGACTTCAGACACTGTTCTAAATCCATGTGGAGCAAGATGCATGAATTTTGCCTTAATCTTGGAAGAGCAAAGTCTAAGTTTAGCCTTCTCCTACTAGCATCAGAGTTTTGGGCCTGGCCTAATGCAGTATTTGAGTGAGAGGTATTAACCTTCAGAAGACTAAAGTCTTAGTAAGGATGTTTTGACCATGCTGTCTAGAGCTGACTTACCATTTCTGTGATAAACTCTATTACCAGGTCCTCAAGAATGTCCACTGATTCTGTGTAAGGGTTCTGGTCATCCCCGAATCCATACATCATGCATCTTACTGCAGAAAGAAACACTCAGTGAGGCTTCTTACATCCATTCAGTGCTGTCAGCAGCACGCATCTAATTAGAGCTCACCAGCCTACACATTCATGCACCAGGATGGCATTCTTGTCTGTTGGGCACGACAATTCTTGAGCGAACATACAGGAAATAAGCAGGTAGACAGAAGCCAACAAAAGCCTAGTGCTGTATGTACAGAAAAGCATGTCTGATGACAGACTCTTTAAATATGCATTTAGCCTACCAAATACGGAACACTGACCGACAGTGTGACTGACTTTTGGCACAGTTAGGTTCAGAGGATGCATTAGCAGTATTTTTTTGGGGGGGTCTATATGACAGCTTTCTACACTTTCAGCCAGGGCACTGAATGAAAGCACCTGTTTTGCTAAGGAAAACTGAGTTCTGGAGCTCCATAGCTGCCTCCTCAGAGTTTCAGCTGTGTTTGGGGGAAGGACATCGTCCTTAAAAGCCGCAGGGAGCCCTGCGGTGAGTGACCCGTCAGCGCTGGGCAGGGGTTTCTGGCCCGGCTCGACTCACGTTCTTTGGAGAACAGCCTCTTCCTCTTGCCTTGCCCGCCGTCCAGGCCCCCGCCGGCTTCTTCCGCGTCTTCTTCAAACTAGACGGTACAGCGGAGGAGAGGCCGCCGTCAGCGCGGCGGGGGGGAACCCCTTCCCCCTTCCGCAGCCGCCCCCCCGCGACACACGAGGGCTGCCCGGCTGCGGCTGGAACGTGGGCCGGAGCGCCCCGTCCAGCGTTCCCGACCCCCACCACTCACCGGCGCGTCCTCCTCTTCGTCAGCCATGGCCGCCAGACCCTGCCGGACGCTTCCGGGCGGGGCGGGAGAGCTTCCGCTTCCTCAGCCCCGCCCCCCCGCGGAGGCCGCCATGTTGTCGTACGGTGGAGGGGGGCGGCTGGGGCCTGTCCTGTCCCGTCCGGCTCCGCTCCTTCTCTCCGCTCGGCGGCTGCACTCCCCGGAGGATTCTCGGTGCCGGCTCCGCTCCCGCAGGCTCCCCACCTCACTGGGCCCGCTACCCCGCCCGGCGGTCCCGCACAGAGCGGGCGGCGGGGGGGCGCGAGGCCCTGCCGTCCCGCGTTACCGCTCGCTCTCCCCTGGAGACCCGTCCCCGCGGAGCGAAGCACGCACGGGTTTCTCTGAGGAAATGGCTGTTTTACCGGCGAGAAGGTATTGCAGCCTCGTCCGGGCTGTTCGTGTGAGCGTGGCCGCTGGAGTACGAAGCTGACTGCAGTTGTTGCTTGCAAGGCCGGTGTCCTTTTCAGCTGCTTTGATGTCACTAGGTTTTTAATATAGAGTGTCTTCTTCAGGGGAAAAAAAATTAAAGTCTAATTCTCCTTTGTAGGTGTAGACCTTGGTTTTTGTTTCAGTTCTCTGCCTACAGTAACTAGCTTGCTGTGTAACTGCCTCCCAGTGTAGACAAATCCTTGCTCTTCGTGCCTGAGAAATGGTTTCATGAATGGAAGGAAACACGGGGGTAGGACTGGAGAGTTCCCTGCTCCCTGGTTGGGCTGCTGCCTCTCTCCCCCCAGTGAAAAAGTTGTAATTCTTCCAGACTGAAGCTGTGGCGCAAAGGAATCACTCCGAGATAGATTTGGTGACCCTCCCCAAATCTGTGTATTACACTCATTAGGTTGTCAGGTCAGGATAATTCAGTTTGAAAGGGAACTCGGAAGGTATCTGGTCCATTCCCCTGTTTAAAAGAGGGTCAGCCATGAGGTCAGAAAGGTGGTCTTTTGCCAAACAGTTAGTCCCTGGCCTGTGTGGTTGCCAGGGGCTCTTCCTTCCCTTGTGCAAAACTTGCACTTGCCCTTGCTGAATTTCATAAGGTTGCTGTCAGCCCTTTCCTCCAGCTCGCCCAAGTCTCTCTAAATGGCAGCCCTGCCCTCGAATGTGTTGACTGTTCCCCCCAGTTTGGTGCCATATGCACATGTGGGAGGAATGCACCTCCTCCCCTCCTCCAGACCGCTCATAAACATGTTAAACTGGACACATCCCAGGACAGACCCTTACACAGTGTTCCACTTGTAACTGCCATGCAGGTAGAGTGTGACCCACTAACTACTACCCTCTGAGCCCAATTATCCAACCAGTTTTTATTGATCTAGTTGTGCACCTATCCGGACTGTAAAGTCCTGATTTTGATACAAGAATAATGCAGGAGACAGTGCGAAAAGACTTACTAAATTTGGGGTATATGACATCCGCTATTCTCCCCTCATACAAAAATCCAGTCATTTTACCATAGAAGGCAGTCGGGTTGGTCAGGCATGATTTACCCTTGGTAAATTCATGCTGTCTCCAAATCCCTTCTTCTCTTTCACATGTCCAGAAACATACTCCAGGATAACTCACCCCATGATTTCCCCAGGGACAGAGGTAAGGATGGCTGAACCTGCAGTTCCGTGGATTGTTCTTTTGGCCTCTTTGAAGATGGGTGCAACATTTGCTTTCTTCCAGTCATCAGAGACCTCCACCTTGCAAGGACATCGGCCAGCTCTCTCGGCACCCTCAGATGTAGCCTGTCAGGTCTCATGGACTTGCAGGGGTCTGGCTCTTTTGAGTAATCCCTAGCTTAATCCTCATCCACTGCTGGCAGCTCTCCTCTTGAACCCTTTTACATATTTCAAAGGCCTGTGAGACCTTTTTGGTAAAGACAAGCAGAGCTATTAGGATGTATGACCCACTCCACTCAGCAACAGGCCCACATTTCTTGTGTTCAGCTTTTTACTACCAGTGTAACTGCAGAAGTTCTGGTTGCCCTTGATGTCCTTGACAAGTCTCAGCTGCAGCTGAGTTCTGGCTTTCCTCACACCTATACACCTGGGGAAAGTTTCTAAATTCCTCCTTTGTAGCTTGTCCCTGTTTCCACCTTCTATATACTGCCTTTTTATGTTGGAGCTCCATCATGGGTTCCCAGTTCAGCCAAACTGATCTCCTAGTATGCCTGCTTGTCTTCCCGAGTATGAGGATGGGAGGATTGTGCTTGGAGGATGCTCTTGTGAAAGACCTGCCAGCTTTCCTGAGCTCCTTTACCCATCAGAGCTGCCTTCCATGGGATCCCATGTAGTTGTTCCCTACGTAAGCTGAAGTCCAGGATCTGCTACTCTCTTTCGTCACTCAACTCCACTGTTTCATTGCCACTATGGCCAAGTTGATTACCATGTCCCCAGTGAGCTCTTCCTTTGTTACCACACCTGAGCAGCAGATGCAGCTGTGTGTCACCCCTGGCTGGCCCATCCAGTACCTGTATCAAGAAGCTGTTCCTGACACCCCATGGAAATCTTGGCTGCTTGTGTCTTGTCATGTTGCCCTTCCAGCAGATGTCAGGGAGGTTCAAGTCAACCATGAGGACCAGAGTCTGATACAGAGATTTCCTGGAGTTGCTTAAAGAGGGGAGAAGTGTTCATCCACTTTCTTACCCTGGTTGGGAGGTCTGTAACACACTCCCACCATGCTGTCACCCTTACTGGCCTCTCCTCTTGTCCCAAACTTGTGAAGAAGGCACATTTATCCTTGCAACAGATAATTATGGAACAGCTAATTTGAGAGCAACTTCCTCTTTGCCTTTGGTTGGCAGTTGGTTTGTGACTTGAAGCTGAGTTCCTGTGCACTTGTAATATCTTGAGTACAAATCTGTGTATTCTGCAGATATGAAAAACAGTGGATGTGCTGTATCGAAGCTCAAGACTAATTTCAATTTCTGACTTTTATTTTAGGAAAAATAGCGCTAGGGTGGCACACGGAAGTCAGTGGGCTCCCGCCCACCCCCCGGTACTGAGAAGTTGAAAGATTGCAGGTTGCTTCGTGACAGGATTTTATGGAAAAAGGATCTCAAATGAACTCTGGAATCTCCCTTTCAGATCATGCATGACTTGGGAAAGAACACACAAACTTTTGCTGGTGCCCGGGTCTGGTCAGGAGAAACTGAAGATGGAACTTAACAATATAAGGTAAGATACTGGTGCAGTTACAGCACAGAGTTCCTTGCCCTGTCAGGAAAAGGCTTCGTGGAAGTTAATGTCCTTGTAACCTGTATGAATTCTAAATACTTAGGACTTTACCAGCGCTTAGACTATTTAAAAAAAAAAAAGGTGAAAGTAAACTTGTGGTTTTTTCTTCCTTTCCTGATGGCATTGGTACATGCTTTTACGATATGCTAACGTTTTAAATATGGACTAAATATAGGTAGAAAGGGGGAAGAGGACAGCTTGTTTCATTGCTTGCATGTGGAACCAGTTTGGCCTAGCTGAGACAAAAGACTGGGCTTTATTCTCGTCTCTGCTTTTAGCATGATTTTGGGTACATTCTTCCTTCCTGCTTTATATGCATCCATATAAACATGCATCTGTGCTTGGTAGGTGGTTTGAATTTGAGCACTGTGAATGAAGAGCATTTGCTTTCTAACAAACATGGTAAATTATTTTAGATCAATAAACTTGAGATTACGCTTTTAATGATAACATACAGGAAGGGGAATGGGCTTAGTATTTTTTTTCCAGTGAAGTAACTGATGGCTGTGAGAGCTGAAGTATGCTAAGGGCAAAGAGCTGGTGAGTGAAACCGTTGGCAGTTGTAAAGAGATGGAATTAGATGCTCTTGCTGTTCTTGACAGTGAGGGTGGAAATCCAGAAAGAAAATACATTCTTCGTGAGCTCTGGAATTAAGGAAACAGGAATGGATGTGTAGCCTTTTCAATTAAGTTTTGCCTTTTCCCAGCTCTCAGTACTTGACAGATTGAAGCACAATTGACTATGACCAAACAACTTGGAAACTGAAGGTAACCCCCACAAGCATGGTGGTTTCCCATGGCCGCAACTTTGAAACTGAATTTAATTCAGGGGATGGAGTACACTCTTTCATCAAAAGCAGGACTTAAATCAATTCGAGTGTGTTGTGGAAACAACTTCTGCGTATGCTGTTAGCTTTCCGCTGTAACTGAGCGTTCAGTGTAGGAGTCTGCACTGGTATCTAGAAGTGGCAGTCCCTCACTGTCAGGGGGCCAAGCACAGCTCAGAATGACTTCCCCTAAGCCAAAGAACAAGTACAATGATGTGACTCATAAATCCCCTTTTCCTTTTTATGTAATAACACTTCTGTCAACATCTAAATAAACAATGTTTTTCTTTTTTTTGGTGAGATATGCTTCTTGCTGTTAGCCTAAACTAGGTCAAAAATGTCAGAGGAGGGGCACACAAAGGAAACGGACACGGATCAGTTGCTTAAGTACACTTTTCAGATAGGTTAAAAAAGAAGGGCCTATGCCTCATGCCATTTAACCTGTATTTGTCCTTAAGTTCCCACACAGCTGCCAGGAGATCTGCATTTCTTTGTAATTTAACATCTAAGGCTTGAACAAGATTTAACTTCATCAGCTTGGACACCTGTTAGTGTTTCTTAATGTCTTAAAGAAACTTTAACATTGAAATGCTTTATACTGTAAAAACATGTTTCTTGTTATTTTTATTGCATTATTTTTAAGTTGCCTATTGTACTCGTAATATTTTTGGTGAATTTCTTAGTAGTACTCCTTTAGAGTACCAGGTTTAGAACAAATGTCTCTTAAGTACACCTTGGGAGTCAAATTAGGGAGCCACTAAAGAGAGAATAAAAGAAATATTTTTCTATTAGAATGGTCTTTAAAAACTGTCCAAAACTATTCCTTTATCCCAGATGTTGCCAATACTTTGGCCACCTGAACCCTGGCTACTACAGGCCAAAGCTGTCAGCAGTATCTTCTGACAGCGTGCAAACTAGTCATGCTTGGCTTGCTTACAGATCTACCTGCCAACTCTTTCCCAAGGTTTGTTGGTATTGTTCCTTATTTTATTTTTTCCATCATCAAGTTCTAGAATTTCTCAAATGTCTCTTGTAATTGGGGGCTGGGTACTAGGTTTCCGACACCTTCTGTTTTTTGGGAAGAAAAAGAATCTCTAAACATCAGCGCAATGTTTTTTACTGTCTTTGAGCACAAAGACAGCTGAAGTCCTACTGAATCTACATGGGCCTTGGTCTGAGTGCATTTGTTTTGCCCTGTTAAATACTACTTCTGAATTGTACAATAGCTTACATCCTTCATAAATTGTTGTGAATGATTAAGCTAGTTTTGCTGATGCTTGAGAAATAAAAGTTTCTTGTGCCTTCATCAGGTTTTGCCTTAAGAAAAATTCTTGTCATAAAGAAATTTTTCCTTATAAAGGAAAATCTGTCATGTCTCCAGTAGGAGGCTCACTCTTCTAGTGTAATAAATGCTTTGCTAAGTTAAGTTTGAACAAAAGTTTTTCTCTAGGAAGCTGAAGAGGAAGAAGGAAAAGGTGCAGCTGAGGTGCAGACACTGGAGAAACAAAAACATAGTGAAGTGTAGAGCCAGAGAGAGTCTTGATGAAGCACTGAAGGATCCCAAGAAATGAATTCAAAAGAAGTGAGTACAGTGCCTTTCGGTGTCCGAGTCTAAACAGCTTTCCCTGAGGGAGCTCAGGGCTGGTGCCATCCCAAGACACCACATTCTGCACTCGCACAAGAGGTGAGGGCAACAGTCCAGCAGTGCTGTATTCATCACACAAGAACCAGTGGAGAATAACTTCTTGGGGAACAGCACGAGCAAGAATAGGCTAAGATTTATCCCCGCCCCACCCCTTACTACTTATTGGCATATGTTTTCCATCATCCTCAATGTTTTTCAAAGAAAATACTGGTTTAAGTAGCTATGTCTGTGCAAGTGGTAGGTTTATTTTCTTGTATAAACTTTGTAAACATGCCACAAGGTGCAGAAATACCACTGTAGATTATTAGAATACAAAAATGTGAACTACCTTCCCTGAAAAAAATCTACTGTGTATATAACTAAACAGTTGATTGATAGCTGCTCAATAATTACCTGATTGAACAAAACAGTTTTCTGTGCTTATGTAAGAGATGCTTATAAGTAGACTAGTTATAGCTGAAGTAGTTAGAGATCAAGTATTTAACAAGTGCTTGGACAGTGTTAAAATAAATCTGTGCATGTAGGCTTAATGCTGTGGCTTGTTCTTAGGAGCAGATCAAATTGCGGTTACCAAACCCAGTACTAAAATCACTTGTGTAGGTAAGGAAGGGATGCTTACTTTACTTTTTTTTGGTGGTGTTTTTAGATACGAATGGGCTGTGAATGCATCAGATGAGAATAAAAGGAAGTTACAGGACTGGCTATAGCATATTGTGGAGAGGGTGGCTTCTTATATAGAGGGCTGTAGAGGTAAGTCATGCCTCTGTGACGGGTGCACCTACTCTGACTGAATTAACAGTACTTTGGTTCAGGCATCACCAACAAGTAGGCCCGAGTGGTCAGCCCTGTTGTACAAACCTTGAGAAATTGTGCTAGGCTGCATCTTCTCAGGAACTTAGGGAATTCAGGTCGTGTCTTACCAGGAGCTAACAGTACCAGCTTGAGCTGGGACCAGATGAAACTACAGCTGCTGGGGTTGCACAGTTGCATGTACACCGAAGGGGAGTTTGACTACAAGTCAATCACTTTACGTTATAAATATCTGCAGCCAGCAAAGCCTGTTGAGCTCTCTTGCAGAGCAGCAGGCTGCACGGTGGTGATCTCCCCTTGACGCCTCTCAAGGTTAGTCCTCGAGGTTGAGAGATCCCTTACCTGGCATCCGATATCTACAGCAAGGTAAATGACATTTTATATTAGATCTAAAACATATTGTATACAAGCTAGCCTAATTATTAGAAGTGTAGTAAGTAGTAGAGTGCTTGACCACTGTCTAATCATTGTTTAATCATCATTTAATCATTGTTTAATAAAACCTTTTAGTTAATCCCACGACGATGACTTCTCTTAATAATTCACCTGTGACAGCCTCTCAATTTATTAACTTATCTTTATTTTGGGATGTGAGATCAGTTTGCCTTTTCTTAGTTCTGTTCCTTTCCTCTCATCTTGTGTCCTGTTTGTAGCATGGGACAAAACCGCAACTTATTCCTCCCTCCTCTGCCTCTTCTGTAATTGGGTTCTGACCTTACTCTGTTTCCAAAACACTTAAGCAGGAGAGTGAGGTAAGAAGCTGTATGTCTCCCTGGGTTTGTCCCTGCTTGCACAGAAACAGCTACAATTTCTCTGTAAAATACAGCATCATGTTATAGCTGGGATAAGCAGGTACTAAAAGTAATCTCAAGCATGAGTAGGATTAGCCAGTGATACAGACTGGAAACATTAGCTGCTGCCAAAATTTCTGTTTCCTCCTTTGCCAGGAATTTTGATAGTTGAGGTAGCAGTATCTTGCTTCTCACGGGCAGCCACCCTACTTAATGCGGAATGAATTTCCTGTATTCAACACTTGGCATGTTCTGTCTGGCATCCAAAATTTGTTTCATACTGTACCAGAGAGCTTCTACTGCAATACATCCTAGTTCTGAGCAGAGTCTGAAAACAACGCTGAGCCCAAGGAGCAAGACTTTAGACAAGAGAAAGAGTGAAAGAAGGCAACACCGAAACAACCTTCAAAGTGACAGTAAACCAGAGCTCTTTCTGCCTTAGTGCATGTTGCCTGTGTAAATGCCTCAGGGAGGCTAAATCTGAAATGTCTACCTGCTAAACCCTGCCCCCTCTGCTTTTTAAAATAACCCAAGAAACCTGTTTAGGTTACTTCATTAATACTAATAGAATTATTGACGTAGCATCTGGTCAAGGTCCCTACTAAAACGCATTCTACACTATAGTGACTCTAGGGGACTGTTGCAAGAATACGGTCAAAATACTGGCTTTGTAGTGCCAGGGTTATGGTGACAGACTAGAGCAGACACAGTAGAGGAAGAAAAAGGAGAAAGTACTGCTGAAAGATGGGAAAGATGCACAAGGCAAAATCCTCTTCCATAGAAGCCTGTATTCAACATCACTTCTGTAAATGACAGGTGCAGAAGAGGCAAAGCTTTACAAGATAATGCTGGGTGCCTGCCGTGTGGTGTATACACTGCAAACAATTTAAGACATCAAAAGCATTTAAAACTGAAATGATCTCTACTACTTCAGTATGCTACCAGGCCCACCATTGATCAATGAGCGGGGAAAAAGAAAGGGAGAGCTTTTGTGTCCCCAGCCTGAGAAAGTGCAGTTCCTCACTCAGCAAATCGCATGTTCCTTAAGAACTTGGCAGGAAAGTCTGCTAGTGCGTCAGACGCCTGTTTACCCGAAGCACGTTCCCATGAAGGCACCTGAATGTAAGTTTTAATGTTTAAGTGAAGGAGAGGACTTGATTTTATTTACTACCTTACTTGTCACAGGGGCATTGATTCTTGCATGTAACAACTGTGGTGTTCCCTCCTGCAGATGGCTGAGGAAAATGCAAGAGTTAAGTTAGTTATTCCAGTATTTGAAGCATTTGTGAATGAAGATCTTTTGACCAATACAGCAGAAAACCCAGATGTGTCCAGAGGTAAAGCTGGTTCTTCAGGATAAGACCGTACCTACTGTTTCTAGTACAGCTGTAGGAAACTCTGTGACCTAGCTCCACGTGGCTTCCACTAAGGACACCTCATGGCAACTATACACACCCACAAGGATCATGGGGTCCAATTCCCAGTCTGCTGCCATTTCAAAGCACTTTTTATACAAATGGATTTACCAGACATACTTAATGTATTTAAGTGGTTAATAAAAGACTTCCTAGCACTGTAAGGCGTTTTGTTCTGAAAAGGGACTAAAAACAGAACTGCACTCTTTTACATATACAGACTTATTTTCAGAGGCTCTTCAGTCAAGGCTGAGGCCTTGAAAATGACAGCCTTGGCAAGACTGATGCTTTTGGAAGATCCTGGTTTTAAGATACTAAGAAAAGATTATTCCCAAAGTGTTTGCTTGCACCTGTTCCATCTGTCTAGATATTACTGCACGTCCCCTTAGGAATACGCATCCTGTGGGCTGGTTCACTCTGGAGCACTTTGGGATTAGAGGTAAAATACTAGAGAATTACAGGTTTGATCTCTGCTAAGATGTGGAAACTAGAGTTCCACATCTTTCTACTGCATTCCCCCCCGGCCCCCCTTCCTAGATGTATGCTGAAAACAGACCTCTCCTCAGGTCTAGTCTGAAAGTTATGACAAATTCGATAAAGAAACAAAACACTAGAAATACCTCAGTATGGTTCACAAAAGACCTACCCTCTCTTGAGGTTTAAACACTTAATGTAAGTAAGTAACTTTGACAACTGCATACACCCATCTGGCAATGTTAAGACATGACAAGACTGAGTGCCAGAGTTTGACACAGGCACTTAATAGCTTTGGTCTAAATTCTCTTGTAACAGCTACTGCTATTGATGGCAGTCCTTTTTCTTCCAATCCTGTGCCTTGTAACAAGCCAACTTCAGGTGCTCTTAGCTGCTGTGGGACACAGTTCTGCCAGCTATTGCAGTGCCCCTAAAGAGTATGGGACATCGGTATTGTGCTCCAGCTGCCAGGGTAGAACAGATGCAGGTAACGGACAATGTGTCTCATCTCTGGCAATTCATCCGAGTGCAGCTGCAGAACTTCATGCTGGATTTAAAACAGAAGGTAGATGCAGTACCGACGGATGATAAAGTGCAGAAGGAGAGAGTTCCCCTAGGTGTCAGTCATTTATTCCACTCTGTTTCAAGCCAACAGTGATCAAAAAGCAGATCGCCATTAAAGATGTGTCCTTTCCTTCATCCACCTGGAAGAGGGACAACTCGATGCCTGCAAGCGAGGTATGCTACCATGCTGCACCTATTGAACGCACGATGCAGAGGAGTTACAAGAGTAAAATATGCAAGAAGTCCTAAACACACCTCCACAGGCACCACGTTGGCTATTTCTACTCTAGATCGCCTTAGAGCAGGCAGGGTGCACAGGTGCTAGTTTTTGGCCCCTGCTATATAAGCTGAGAGAAGTAAACCTCTCTGCATCATTCAGTTCAACTGGGCGAGTACAGTTCGCTTAATGTTAGGGCTATAGTTTTTCTTTTCTAAACTAAATGCCTTTTTATTATTGAGATTACTAGACTATCTCTAGTATCCTAAATATAGCAGAGCTTAGGCATGCAGTGGTAGCTTTTTGAACATCTAGCTGGAGGGAGAGGCAATGCTGTATTAAAACTTAGCTTCTCTTTGGAGGTTCTCTTTGCTTTTTTCTCCTTAGCACAATCATGTAGGTTTTATAAAACAGTTTTGTAATAACCTGGATTCATTCATAGTGCAAACTTCCAAAACTGATGAATTTATTAAACAGAAAGCTTAGCCTTACAAATATTAATATATCCAAAAATTTATCCAAAAATAAATTCTAGTACCTGGGGTTATTTACAACAAAAATCCAGACCTCTAGTTTTGGTACCTTTTGTTCTGGATGAGCCGAGCAGATCGGGAGCCAGTCTTCTCAGCTGGCCTCTACAGTAGGCAGGTTTCCAGTAACATGGGCTACAAAACACCTTAGCAAGTGAACCCCCGAAAACTCCAGAGAACTGTGGGAACAAAGGCGTGGGTGTTCAGTGCCAGATGCTGCTGTGTCTTGGAGTAATACAAGCAAACTCAGCCACTGGCTGTATTAAATGACATCCCCCGCAAGTGCAGTACAACCTTGGCACATCAAGCACTTCAGCTACGTAATCAAACAATTGCAGCTTGCTACCGTTAACACAACTCCAAAGAAAATGGCAAAGCCGGCTAGCACGCAGCATAGGGACTGCTGCCCCCCTCGGAGAAAGGCCGAAGGAAGAGCAGCCTTGAAAACCGAACTCCACTCACTGGCAGAGGAGGGGGAAGAAGGAAAGGGGCGTTTCCCCATCAGCAGCCCACCCTCCAGCCTCGGGGCACAGGGAAGTGCCACCTCTAGAGCAGACAGACCCATTTCAGGTAGTTTGCCCTATTGCAAATTGTCACCTGAAAGGAAAGGGCAGCAATGGAGAAGAGCTTTACCTGACCAGGAATAGCTGAGGAAAGCATCCCTGAGTTTTCTCCTTTACAAACTCCTGGATCTCCAGTACGTTCTTTAACAACAGTCCCCTGGAAGCTCGGTCAATTTTTGTTAACACCATCTGCATGGATCCAGAAAAGGAGGATTAAAAGAGGAAAAGAAGATTATTTTGCCGCTAGGCTGGAACATCTGTGAGAGTCCTGGACCATCTTGCAAGGCAGGCTGAAAGCTCTGGGTCATATCTAGGGGGAAAAACGGTACCATACATTTCACCAAAACACTTCTATAGCCTGCATAAGGAGCGGACCTTTTCAAGCTGCTCAAGCTGAGCACTGAAAAAAAAGTGTCCATTTAATAAATCAAGCAAAAAATCCCTTAAATCCCACTTGCCCCCCTCAACACATTTTAGGCCTATTTTATTAACAATAAAGGGGGGGGGGCTTACGATTTAGGTAGGACAACTTGCATAAGCTCAGGTCTTACGACTTAGGTAGGACAACTTGCATAAGCTCAGGTAGAGGGCACCCACCTTTATAGACTACCTGTACCTTATCACCAACACAAGAACAAAGCAATACCTACCACATAAGGAATCCCAAACTCTTCCAGCATCTCTACTGCAATATGATCTGTTTTCTGGAGTCCTACTACGCCATCAACTAATAGAAAAGTCCTCTTCAAGCTGCCAGAAATACAAGCAACAGTAATCACTGCCATTATTTCGTGCCTGCTCTGCTACTTCCAAATTCGTAAGCAAGAACAAGTAACACAGGATCTGGGGATAGGAAAAGCCAAGAAAAGCCATGCAAGGGAGCTGAGGGTCAGCATGGAGCAGCACCTCAATCTTTTCTGCTGTTTTGATCTGTCTAAGCATGAACGAGTGACACCAGAGGTTCCCAGAGAAACGACGTCAGAACTAATCAGTACTACCACTGGAAGTAGCTACCCCTCCTGCATTTTTTCACCTAATTACGTGACACTGTATATAGGTGTATGGCTTTCGTTGCTCTGTGGAGGTACA